ACCACTCCTTTTGCTGCCCTTTTTTGGTGTCATTTTCTAGTATTGATTATTGCCAAATGGAATCACACATTTTATTCTCAATAATTAAATTATAATTTCCACTGTGATCTACGGGCACAGATGTATTCTCTGTTAGAATACATTATTTAAAAAATAGGCAGAGAGATACTTAAAACCACTTTAAAAATAATATATTGAGTTAATGTGTAACCAAAAGAAATTAGAAGTATAAACAAAATAAATAAATGGTTTCTGGATGCTCATGGTTGCATACAGCACATTTTACTCCATCAGGAGTATCTGATGCTAATGCCTCGCTGTATTCCGCTTTTGGTAGCTACAGTCCACCCACTTAAATACCCCCTGGTGTAAGCATAGGCAACAGTACTCTCTAGTTCCTGCCACAAACTCTTTTGTGTGCTATTAATCAGCAGCTATATTTCACCTCCAGAGCAACTGCATCTCAGCACTGGACAGAGTGAAATACGGTGTCTTACATTGTAGAAGCAACCAGTAGTGATGCTGTAGATACTGTTTATAGTTCATCCAAAACTTGGGCATTAATCATTTTCCCAGTAAACATTTTTGACTGAGTCGTCAATCAGTATGAAATGTTATTTGACTTTTCCATGTAGGTTTTCCCCTCTGTTTCTCCTCATACAAAATACACTTGGTTAGCTGAGATGCGAGGGCTGCCTTCACTACAAAATTCTGGTTCAGTTAATGAACACCATTTGCCCAGGTCAGAAGACACAAGCTAATGGGCAGAGGCTTACCTGGTACAGCTGTGGACACTGTGCAGATGTTTTAATGAGTACCTATGTGTATATGTCTGACTGTGTATTATATATGTGTGTATATGTATATATAGGTACATACTAAAGTTCTATATTTTCACAAAAACATTAGATATCATCACATACATGTTACTGTTATTTGTTACCATGTTGAACCTGACAGTTAAGATAGAAATGTTGAAGTGGAGGGCCTACGTGCAAGTTTGTTTTCAGGACCCTTTAATCAGTGCATTTTCTGCTGAGGCTCTGACAGGGGTGTAGATGGTGTTTACAGTAATGAAAAAAAGTTGTCTGAAAGTGCTCTGTAAGTATTTTTCCACCTCCATTAGATTATTTAGAAATTGAATTGAATTACCATGCTGAATAGGCAAATGTTGTTCCCGGTTGGGATTGAGAATATGAAAGTTAATTAATTTACTCCGTAGCTGATGTGAAAGGATGTTGAATTTATAGTCATTTTCATGTTTTAAATGTGAAACTGTGAAATGAAGAACTGAGTAATTTTACATTTGTGCTACAGTAAAAAAATTTACAAAACCCCAAAGATATTTTATGCAGTACACCTTCTGAATCATTGTCTAATATTATAATTTTACTTTGCCCATTTATGAAAATCAAATACAATTTTACAGAAAATACAAACATAGATTTAAAATAAATTACTTCAGTTTCTAAGTCCATTAGTGTCCTCAAGCAGTCAAAAACGAGATTCTGTCATCCCAGTTCATTTAGGATTCTGTGCTAGTTCTCATATATTTTATGAGTCCAACAGCATAAAATATGTTCTCTTTCAATTCTTAACACATGATCCATAAATTTATCTTTCTTTGAATATCTTTAGAAATAAGGAATAGGGCTGGATGAATTCATCCTCATATAATTTCAGAATTTGTGAAAGTATTCTATCTGATAATTGGGGTGGTTTTTTTGTTTGTTTGTTTGTTTTTAATTTTTACATGATTCAGTGTACCTTTGACTGATTTTCAGCTTTTATATCAATTTTTTAAGATGACCGTTTTGGAACTGAAACATGGGCTTGAACTTGCAGTGCTTCAATGACCAGAGCTTCAAGTAGGATGCAGTGGTACCCTGTTAATGGATGACATTCTAGACACCTCCATTGCTTTGCACATTATTGCGAATGCAAGTGAATAGCGTGCATTCTTTCTGCCTTTATCATCTTAAGTAGTAATTCAGTGTGGAGTAGCTGGACTTCTACATTTGATAGATAATCTCCTCCTTTTTATAGTGCCAGGCAGTGCAGAAATTGAACTGACACTTTAACAGGGTTTTTGTTATTAGAAGAACTAGGGCTGTTTGGTTGGGTTTTTTTTTGTTTTGTTTTGTTTTGTTTTTCATTTTTCTCATAGTGAAGTCACTGGCAGTGCCAAAAGGAAAGCTGAGAAAATGCATCCTTCTTTGACAGCAATTTCAGTGTTGAGCCCTTTGCTTAAACACATCTTTAGCTGTGAATGTTGTGCTTTGATTTAAAACCTTCGGATGCCTCAGAGTGAGTCAGGATAGAAGTAGCCAAGTGCCAGCATAAGATCCTTAGAATTGGTGACATTTGTCATCACTACTAGCTGTTTCCTTTTTTATTCTGAGCATTTTTTTCTGATTATCATTACTATAGTGACTTGGTCAAACTGGTTAATTTACACAGTGGAGTGAATACATTGTATGTATACTGTGCAGTCAAGAAAACTGTTCTCTCCAGAATGAGCTTCTCCTTGCAAAGTAAACACTGGACGGCCTTCCGAGTGCCTTAACTAGAGAGCAGAACAGGATACCCATTGTCATCTCTCGCAGTTTTTTCTACCTTAACCACACAGGAAGAAAGCAAAAGAGAAAACACAACCATTCATTAGTAAAGTGCAGGTGTTTGGAGGAGTAAGGAAACGGCCTGCCGTTTCTTCTATGTCCTTTTTGTAAGAATATTCTACCTTGTTTCCACTTCTTACAGCAAACCCTGTGGATACCAGGTGGTGAACAGTGAGGTTCGCTGTATTTCACATGGTTTATGTTTTTAGAAACAGGGCATTGTTCTGTGTGAAGCAGAGCAGCATGTATTTTGCTCTCTGGTCGGTGTTTGCAAGCATGTTATAATGACAGTAACAATAATTGCTCTGATGTAGCCAGCATGAGAAACCCCCAAGGTCACTGCAACGCAAAGAGATTGTCTGCACAGCTCCTGAGGTGTGCTGCTTCAGTGTACATTCGTGTCCCTAGACAGCTTGGAGTGTTTCTCTCAGACTTGAAGGAAAATATTCCATTTGAAAGAAGACTGAAGCTTTTATTATTGTTTTTTGCTAGTATTTTTTCTAGCCTTAAAGTTGAGAAAAACTTCTCAGGTTTTATTTACCTAGTTTTTATTCTTAGTGATGGTAGAACAGCTTTGACTGGACACATTTGCATTGTATAAGATTCTTTGAAAACAATATGTTGTGAAACTTGCATTGCTTTTTTCCCTTGCTAGCAGGATGGCCAGTCTGATATTTTGTACAAATTTTGGACTGCAGTAACTCAAACACTGTCCTCTCAGTTTCAGTCAGCAACAGACTGTAAGTATTCAGTACAAATTATTCATAATGTGTTCTATAGTTATTTTGAATCTCTTATTTCAATAAGCCCTTAGCTCATTATCCCCTCTACTAGAGCTATATCAGTAGTTTACTCAGTGCATGGTCTTAAGGTTTTAGAAGTTCTTGGGTTTGTAACCACACAGGGTTATCCTCCTAAACTACGGTTGAAATTACAGAAAGAAATACTTTCTGCTTTATTAAGTAGTAATTATCTCATAAGAAATACGTATTTTTGCAAATATATGTGAAGGTAAAAGTGTTTGAGATGGTACATTATACTTTCCAAAGCAACTGAGTTCCAAAATTAAAAAATCGTAATTTGATTTAAAGAGCGGTTCTTACAGTATTTTCTTGTTAAACACTGATTAATTGTAAAAATCTAATTTTAGCCATATTTGAATACCTTTATAAATAGGAATTGGATTTCTTCAAAATTGTGTTTTCTCTAAATATTGATAAATGGCTGATGTTCTGACTACAGACTGTATTCTGTGCATAGGTAGTACATAAACAGCGCATATAATCAAGGAATATAAACAAAAATAGTATATAAACATAGGACAGCACTGTTAGCAGTCCATGCTAATGCAGCATGCAATTAGATCCTAGGTGAGTGTGATGATATATCTTTCATGTTTGTATACAGTGGATAAAGTTTTTTGCACATATAGATAAAGTACATAAGATTTCCTTTGTATTTATCTTTGTGATCTCAGCTGCTGCATTGGCCCTTCAGAATTTGGTCCTTCCAGGCTTTATAGCAGCAATATAATCTTGAGGAACTAGCAGGTTGATTCATGTTCGTTGGTTGCTAAGTAACTAGATTATTCCAAACAAAAATGTATTCATCTTGTGTTAAAACATATTAATTTTACTGTTTGCCTTACACATTACTTTAACAGCAGTATTGCACATACCCAGAATATCACGTTTAAATCAAACACGTGCTACCTGTTTTCAGCACTTAGTTTTAAGATTTTAAAATTGTGACATCAGTTAATGGGATCAATCAACATTTCAGAAGGGAACTCTTGCAGGTTGCCAGCAATACTTTGTCTGACAGCCATTCAAAAATATTTTATTACTTATGATTTTTAATCATTTTTTTAATATAAATGTTTACAGCGAGCGGTTGAATTTTCAAACTGTGAATGATGTTTTTACTTTGCTACAGCTGAGTTCTGAGGAAACAATGCTTATAGCAAGTAGACTTTTTTACTTAGGTGACACGTCTGTATGAGGCGGTTCATTTTTAACACATAAATCTAAGTGATTGAATCCACTGACATTAGTCACAGACCTCTGGATCATATAAATCAGAGGAAGACTAGACAATATTAAAAGTCATGTAAAAATAAGAATTTGTGGCAGCTTACAGAGTTTGATAATAGATCATGGTCTGCTTTTGTGAGGTTGGGACCATCTTTCTAAACATAGCTCTGTGACCTAAAATAACTCTGTGTTCGATAACAAATGTGCAGCATTCAAACTTAGAATATATTTGAGTTGAAAGGATAGGCTGGAAAAATGGGGCAGATGTCCGGAACCTGAAAAACTTATGAATGAATGGAACACTGTTAATCTTCTAATGTAATGGGAAATCCATAAAGTATGAGTTATGTTAGATCAAGATTAACAGCAGTTGCTAAAACAGTTGTACATTTGTTTCATTTCCTGTTACTTGTGGCAAGCCTTTTAGGGCTGAAAATAATGCTGGTTTTTCTGTTTGCTTTGTCATTCCTCATTTGATACTTTTAGGAATTGCATTTTAGGTACCTAGTTTTAAGAAGAAGCACATACTTCCCTCATCAGATTTCTTAAGACTTTGGCTCATAGAAGTTTGTTTTAAATGGGTATCTTCAAAGTTGCACAACCCCACAACCCCCATCAAGCTACTTTTAGAAAACCTCTAGATTTAGAGAGTTCTAATCACACTTTGGGCTTAAATGAATGACAATAGTAATTATTAAGTTTGATACCAAATGTTTCACAAATATGATTAGTATCTTTTTTGTACAAAATGTGTTTTCTATGTCCAGTCTTCCAATTGTGGATTTTATGCTAGTGTTTTAAATATGTACCTTTGTCAACTGTGTTTAGTGTGACAGCTCTTGCCACTTTGAAATTAATTATAAACACTACATTGTTAATATTAAGGATTGGATAACACTGTATAGCATTCATTGATATAAATGCAAGGATGCATATTGTTTAAATGAATAAAAAAATTAGTTTGAACTTGGCAACATGTGTTGCTTGCTACTTTGTCTTGCAGCCTCTATGTTTTTAAAACAAGCTTTTGAAGGAGAATACCCAAAATTACTGAGGCTTTATAATGACTTGTGGAAGCGCCTGCAACAATATAGTCAAAATATTCAGAGGAATTTTAATACAAATGGAACTGCTGATCTCTTTGCTGAGCTACAACAAATGGAAGAAGATACACAGGACATGTTCATGCAAAAAAACCAAGATTATGAGTATGTATTACAAACTCTAAGGCAGTGAAATGTAAAGCTTTGAACCCTGCAAGAAAACAGAGTATTTTTAGGAACTTAGCAGTATTGAAATTGTCAGACTGGGAAAATTTTAAAGCTTTTTTTTTTTTCCCCCCCCCCTCTCCTTTTGCAGTTATTGCTTTAATACTAACAGCTGTAGAATTTTCATTAGATTATATAATTAACAGTGTTGGATTGTCTGGAAAGTTCCTGATTTTGGAACTAGTTTTATCTTTTTGTCTGTTTGGGTGAAAAAAGAAGCAGAATGATAAAAATTCAGGTTTGTGTGTGTTGAGATTACAGCAGTAGCTTTCTCTTAATGATACCACAATCATTGGAGTATGACAAATGCTCGGTTTGTTAAGATGCACAGGTTTTATGTTTATACATCATAGAATAAACATGATTTGAATGGTAGATATCAGAAAGATCAAACTGAAACAGGCTCATCATCCTATTAGGACTGCTAGACTTACGCAAAATAAAATGAATATTTTATGTGAGAATTTTATTGGCTTAAACATGTTCCTAAGCAGTCAGTGGGAGACTTATCATTGACTTCGATGGAACTGACATAAAAAGTTCTCTAAAGTTCTGACAATAAGGTAAAATGTTTGAGAGAGCTAATGCTTACTGATTTTCAAAAATAGAAATATTAAATACTGAAGCTTATTAAAGTTAAGAAGAATCTTTCTATTTGAAGCTTTCTAGACGCATAATATATAGACCAGGAAATGCTTATTTTTTTAATATAACATAGAGTACAAGCTATTTGCTAATGAAATATGTGAACATAAGAAGGTCTTTCATTGCAGTTCTGGATGTCTTGCTGCTATTTTTTTCAGGTTTTTTTAGCACTGTTTATTTCAAAACACCATGAAGCAAGGATTCCACACAGGTCTTACAGAAAGTGCTAAGAACTGTGTTGAACTCCACACAATGGCTCCCTGAATAGTTACATTGTTCAAGTGAAAAGCAAGGCCTTATACACTGCTAAAATCTTTTTGTGTGTTTGAAGACCAGAAATTAAAAACAAATGCAATGCTACAATGTTTGTATGGTCTGGAAAGATTAAATGCTATTTTGTATTTTAATTTAAAATGTAGTAATTTTGTTTTCAGTCCAGAAAAGGCCTTGAAAGATTCACTGCAACAATATGAAGCTGCTTATTTGTCAAAATCCTTATCTCGACTCTTTGATCCCATCAATCTCGTCTTCCCACCTGGAGGTCGGAATCCTCCTTCTTCTGATGAGCTTGACAGCATCATTAAAACTATAGCCAGGTACGCATGTATAATTGAAAAATATAATCTTCAAACAGTAAAAGTTGATTATTCTTTAGTTATAAAACTAGTTTGCATAAGAATTAAATCAGGAAATAGAATAGAGTAGAGTAGAGTAAAATAGGAATGGAATTTCAGTTGGAACGAACCTACAACAATCATCTAGTCCAACTGCCTGACCACTTCAGGGCTGGCCAAAAGCTAAAACTCGTTATTAATGACAAAGTCATTAAGATTGGAAGAGCCCTCTAAGATCATCAAGTCCAACTGTCAACCCAACACCTCCATGACTACTAAACCATGTCCTGAAGTAACATGGATACAGGGCATTGTCCAGATGCCTCTTGAACAGTGACAGGCTTAGGGCATAAACCACCTCTCTAGGAGGCCTGTTCCAGTGTTTGACCAACCTATAGGTAAAATAAATGCTTCCAAATACCCATTCTGAATGTCCCCTGGTGCAGCTTTGAGCCGTTGCCATGCGTCCTATCACTGGATCCCAGGGAGAAGACTTCAGCAGCTGCCTCTCCACTTGCCCTCCTCAGGACTCTGTAGAGGGCAGTGGGGTCACCCCTCAGCCTCCTTTTCTCCAAAGTAGACAAACCTGGAGTCCTTAGCTGCTCCTCTTAGGACCAGCACTAATAATGGATACCGTGGGATAACTCATTATTATTTATAATTTATTATGAATTTTATTATTCATTGTTTCTTTTCTGTGTTGTTGTGGCTTTTTTTAATAACAAAAAATTTATTTTTTTTACTGCTTAACTGTTTTCAGTACAGCATTTATGAGTACAACCCAAACTGATGGAGATCTTGGGGGTTCCATGAACAAGAAATGCTGGAATTGAGTTAGAATTCTTTTCCCTCTTCCATTTGTTCCCTGTCATTCCTTTGGGGCCTCTGTTACTATAAAGGATTGCCTAAAACACAGCTTATTAGTTGTGTCAAGCTAAGGTGTCCCCTGGGTATTTCTACACAGCTCATGTAATTCCAGAGTTGAATGACTGTGTATTCACCTGTAATGTTTGAAGGCTGCTGCCAAAGCTTGAGAGTAGTTAATTGCAGTCAATATTTTTGAATGGCTTACTAATAGTGATTTCATACTGAAGTGTCATTGCTAAACTTTGCTCATTTTTACTAGAATAGGAACACTGCACATAAAATTCCCAAATGACTTGTTAAATTGTAAACTGAATTACAGTGCTTAGAAAGACTTGGTTGTAACCGTTACTCTCTCTAAATTGACATGCCATGTAACAATGTATTCTCAGTTAATTTTTTATCAATTAAGTGCAGCACTGTTCCGTTGTTAATTAAGATTTGTAATCTTTACTTCCAGTGAGCTAAATGTGGCTGCTGTTGATCCAGACCTGAGTATAGCTGTGGCCAAAAATGTGGCAAAGACCATTCAGCTCTATGGTGTAAAGTCTGAGCAGCTTGTAAGTAATTTTAAATTACTAAAAACTTATGTTGTTCTATGTACTATATTCTGGTTTTTTTTAGATTTAAAATCAACCTAGAATAGACAAGACGTTCAAATTTGCTTTCCATTGCATTTGGAAACATTTTCAGTTAAATTCTGCCTTCAGATGAACATAGTCTGTATTGGTAGCATTAAAGTTTGTCTGTATAACTCCAAATTGAATTTGCCATGTTAATTTTAAAAAATCAAAATTGTAGTTGTCATTAATTTAAATTAAGACAATTAAATTCATTTTAATACTTACCAACATTTGATATTCCATAAGTTACATTATACATTGTCTTTATTGTGTTAAAATCTAGACTATTGAAATATATTTTTTCACTATTTGCACCAAAATTTGGGCATTTTCACCTATGTATTTATTATTTGCCAGATATTTAGCAGAGCCTTGATTTGTTTGCTTTTGTCAAATGCTTCTGGTCATTTGCCATGCACTGTTACATGCTGTTAAACTGAATAGAGGAAGCATTCCCCAAAGCCTTATCCTTTTGGTGTGGATCTCCAAAAATCCAATTGATATTACAGTGAATGTCATCGGCATATGAAAAAATAATTTTTAAGATGAACAGTTTTCTCATGAAAGCTATTGCTGCAATTTTAATGCTTTTCTTATGAAGAGATGAAAATTAATCTTTGCAATACGCAGGCCCACAAGAAATTGCTAACTACTTGTATTTGTAAACTTGATTTTCACTTAAACAGCATTAATTCCAAAAGCAAAGTCAGACTCTGGTAATGTTAGTTTGTGATAGGATTCATTTGAAGAGAGATACTTGTTAGCAATTTTTTACTAACAGTTAGCTACAAAACATTGTGGCAGTTCATAGAATACTAGACTCATACAATGCTTTCAGTTAGAAGGGACCTCAGAAAGTCGTCTAGTCCAGCCAGGGACACCCCCAAGCAGGTTGCTCAGAGTCCCATCAAGCCTGACCTTGAATGTCTGCAGGGCTGGGGCCTCTGCCACCTCTCTGGGCAGCCTGTGCCAGTGTTTCACCACCCTCACAGTAAAGAAGTTCATCCTGATGTCTAATCTAAAATCATTGCCCCTTGTCCCATTGCTACATGCCCTTGTAAACAGTCCTTCCCCAGCTTTCCTGTAGTCTGGATAATAATTTTAACATAATATTAAGTTAGTATAGATTCTGTTTTCCTTTTAGGCTCCTGCTGTCTCTGAATAGGTTTTAAAAAACTGAAGTTCAATAACACACACCTTGTTTCCATGTCTGTTGGTTGGATTGTATTGGAAGTTTGCAAACTAGTGTATGGAAGAAAAATGTAGGTGAAGCAGTCATGAAGGCCATGAAGAATATTTAAAAACTTAAAATAAAAACGTGTTTACATTATTTTACTATATATTTAGAGCATAGAGCTTAAGTTGGGTCTTCCTTTAAAGACACTGAATCATGGCTTCAGAATTTCAAAGTGAAATATGCTCATGAAAGATATCAGGATTTTTTAGTAGTTTGCAACAGTCATCACAAGTGAAAAAAGCTGTGCTTCTGTCTGTTTATCATGCAGCATAGTCTCAAATAGTGTCATTCAGCTGGAAAAAGAGACATATCAGCTGTAACTGTAAAAGCACCAGGCTTTGTTGTGCTCATCATCTCTGTTAGAGTTTGAATCTGACCAGTGGCTTGTTCAAAAGCATACACCATTTTGTGATCAGCCAGCTGGCAAATTCTGAAGAAACCCTGAAAAAAAAAAGTATGTATAGAAATAAGCTGGCACATATATGATTTGTGTCTTTGTATTAGCTGACCTAAAATTAAAAGAATGTAGGAGTAAAGAGGGAGTCTGAGCCTTTGAACTTGTTGAATTTGACAACTGAAAATAAAACCTGAAACTTTGAAAAACTGTGACAGGTTTAGTCAAACTGGCGGAATTAACATGAATGTCCTTCAAGAATATATCTGCAAACTATAAAACAATATCAACTATGTATCACATAGCTACATTTTTTAACCTTTTTTTTTTCTCCTTACTCATACACATGTTACAAAATTATAACTGGAAGGGCTCAACACAGTTCCCAAGGCATAGCTGTATGATACCATCTTTAAAGACCAAAAATATCATGCCTAGCCTCCAGCTGCCTCTCCAGAAGGGCATGGCTCTCCCATTTGTCCTGTGCCCTGCTTGCCAGCCCTGTGGTTACATTCTGGAACATCATAACTTTTTTTTTGTACCTGCATTTGGGCAGACAGATTGAGCCTGAAATGTGTACCCTGTGTAGAACGGGAGTTATGTCAGACAGCACTGCTTCATTATGTTTTAGTGCTGTAGCCAAGAGTGCAATCTACATTCAGTCTTGCAATCCAGCCTCCAACGATAGCTTTCTAAAGCTGGGAAGTGTGACCATGAAACATTTCTGCTCAGATGCTTCATTTCTGATAACTATAGTGGAGCTGTACTAAAGACAGAAATTTAATTTCCCAGAGGAATTTACAATTGAGTTCTTTTCCAAATTCAAAATAAATGAAAGAATCTCAGAATTCTCGGTGAAGGAAGATTGGGAGAGGCTTCTAAGAGTCGTTAGAATTTTTCTAATGTTATTGTAATATTGCAAGCAAATTTGGATGTTGAAAAACTGAAATTTGCGGTCCTAAAAATGTCGAGACATTCTGCTGTCAGGTTTTTATTTGTTCAATTTCACAAAAAAAAAGGAATTGCAGTTCACTAAGTTTTCATTGTTGTTTCTCCAGATAGCTTTAGACAGAACAAATAACAACAAAAATGTTATTCAAGACTCAAAGTTTTTAATTTTGATTAAAAGCAGCATCTAGCAATCTGTACATATAACAATTAAGCAAAAACAAGTAAGAAAAAGTGGCCTCTTCTGTGAATCCAAAACATTTTCTGTGTTGCTTGTGACTTTGTACACTGCTGGCTTTTGGTTTTCAGTGTTCCCCACATCAAGAGCTAGCTGTTGCTGTGCCTGAGACCTATTCTTGTATTAACCAATTCAAATGATTTCAGAGAAGATACAGATAACCCTCTGTGAGCAGTAGGTAGATATATTCTGCTGTTGGGTGAATCTTTAGCTAACCCCTTGCTGCTGCTTGATGTGGTTGGTGTATGCCATGAAGCGTTCAGAATCATTGTCCTAATTTCACTTGGTGTAATTGCAGATGTTCTTACTATACAGAGTTTGAAGGGATGATTATACATTGCATTAAATATAAAAAAATATTTCTGTTAATTTAAGAGTATTACCTTTCAACTTCACCATCCATCCTATGTTTTGTTAGGTGTTGCTGAGGAAGGGTGCTCAGTATATTTTCTCTGTGCCATTATTATTTTATCTCTTCTTATTCACATTTTCCATAAATCAGGCATCCCAAATGTCATCGTAATGATGAGAGAAATGACAAGATTTCCATTTAGTCATCATTTCTACATCCTTCTCATTCAAGATTGGAAGATATTAACAAATCTGATCATTGTGTTTTGAATAAGAGCAAAATTTTTCTCTTCTGCATTTGCGCATTGTAATCCATTGCTCACTTTTTAACATAATGGCTGCTTACTGAGCCAGATTTTGTTCACTAGCCACTTTTTTATACGAGTGAGGTAACCCAGATAAAAAAGAACAGTAACTTTTGTCCTTGATTTAAGAGTTTTCCAGAGGTGTTATCCATTCCCAATTGCAGATACCTTGATTGACGTGTACTCTTGTTTAGCTGGCCACATAAAGAAAAATCGGCTCTTTCATCAAATGCTGACAATAAGTACAGTGGAAGGAAGAGATTAATGAGAAACCAGTAATTTGCCTTTCCTGAAAACGAAGCAAAATTTGGGTTTTTCTTTAGTATCCATACTGCTTAACAAATGATAGGAGCTTACAAATCTGCTTCTTAGAAAAATCTCACCCATTTGTATAATATCTTTGTTAGATGTCTTTGACAACGCAGCAGTACTTGCATGGCGGGATCCTCTAGGCCAGTGATCTCTACATGTTTTTGTCTTGCATCCCTGTCAATAAAAACTTTTTGAGCATGTATCCACATTATATGTATGTTTTTTTTATTTATAAATTAGATACATGGACTATTGAAGTTCTCATTTTCTTCCTGCACCTCAATGGATTGTCTTGCATAACGCCAGTAGTGCACACACCCTGCTTTGAAGACCACTGCAGCAGGGTAATACTCTGCAGTAATCCTCCATTGTAAGATGCGAACAGATTTTGGCTGTCCATTTTTTGAAAAGATGCCCAGTTGATTGCAGAATTCTTTTAAATTCATATTTTATTTTCTTCCCATGCCACTTTAAATCAGATTTCTTATTTATGTATAGAAAAATGAAAATGATAGTCAGCTGTTAATTGGAAGTGAAACAAAACTGTATTTCCCCAGCAGATTACCTCTAATTCTGTCATTTACTGAGCTGAATTTCAGATGTACTTGAAATGTTGTGATTTCTCACATAATTAAAAATCTTCTTGTTGCACCTTTGACATTACTATGTGTTGGGTTGCCTATTGATAGAGCAGTTTATCTTACTGACATTTAAGACTGGATGTCTTGCAGAGACAAGTCATGAGACATTGAGGGTTAAAAGTTCTGAAAGTTTACAAAGATGTGTACTTTTGCCAACAAGCAGAAAAATTAAATTGCAAGATCCATTTTCATTGCAGATATCAAAGATGGAAGAGACCTATTTGGTCATCCAGTCTATTCCCTTCCCAGCACAGGACTATTTAAAACAATAATTTATTGTTGGGGATTTTATTGCATACTTTCTGCTTTTAGAGTGATGATTTCAGTTACCTCATATATTGTGAGTACAAATGTAAGTACTGTATGTTCTCTTACTTTTGTGCTATTTCTGTTCAGCTTGACATGTGGGTGGACTGAAATACACTAACACACCCACCAAGTGCACATTGATGAAATGTGTTGTGCTGTGAACATGAAAATGCAGTTGTTTAGAGAAGATGCGATTCTCCTA